AGATTAACCGGGTCAAAAAAAGGAGCAGGCTTATGAGCAGTGACACATTTTAGAATGGAATAGGAGACGGATCGGCGGTTGTTTTTCTTTCGGGGCGGTGAAAGCCAGGCACCCAGCTGATTTAGGCAGCTTTGGAGCACAACAGATCAGATCAGATTATCTCTCGTTGATCCCCTGTAAAGCAGACAGCAGATTCATTGATTCCTCCACCTCCCCGCACAGCTCTGGTCCTTAGTCAAACATTAACCTGTGACAAGTATTTTAAAAAAAAAGAATAAATAACAGCGCTAATGCCCGATTAAAGTTTTACGCAGAGGAAACTGGCTCGGGAAAGACAACAGGTGGATGTGTTGAATGCTTCTGAAGTCGATAGGAATCATCCAACTTGTTTTTAAATCATGTGCGAATGTTTGCACCCTCCCTAACGATGGAGCTCCACAAAAGATTGAGAGTTGCTCCCTGTGGCCCGGGCGGCCACGGTCACCGTGTCGGGGAGCCGGACACTGAGCTGGTGACACAAGCTCGGCTCAGGACGCATAACACCACGCAAGCTCTCCCCTCACTTCTAATCCACGATGCTATGGCGTCCCACGTGCGGGCGGAGGCGTGGAGGTTCACGGAAAGGCTGCTGCAGATCCACGGGCCTCACGTCTCGTCTTGTGTCCACCAGACCGTCCCTTCTACAGCGGTCACCAATGTGACAGGAGCACGTTGGAGTTTTGCTGCAGCATTCTGGCTGGATTCATCTGACCTACTTCCCCCCCTCACCCTCTCCCTCCCCCGTGCTGGGGGCTGGAGAGAGGGGAGGGGAGACCACCAGGCAGGAAGCAGCGGGCTGAGCGGCATAACAGCAGCCTACATACAGACATATGTTCTCTGGGAGAGCAATTCAAGCGAGGTCAGACGTTTCTCTGGAGCTGCTTCCGTTATTCCTGAGCAGCCACAGACTCAAAGGTACCCAAAAACAGAGACGACCAGACGTCTCCCCAGCCTTGGAACAACAGAGAAGCCATCTCTAACACTTCCTCTGAGCATCAGTACCTCTGGACCTGGCTTTACAACGTGCTGTCAGACATGAAGGAGCTCCGTGGAGCCTCAGCTCAATTCTCTCCTAAACAGCAAACAGCACAGTTATCCGGATTCAAAAAAAGCCAACCGGCCGACGTTTCAACAGACCTTTTGTTGCACTCTGGACTCATTTGTATCTGCTGAACACAATAGGACGTGTGGGTAGGGGAAAAATAAGGGTTTTAACCGACCACAAGCAGCGTGAGGGCCGTGGGAGAGGCTAACTGTAGGCGGACGGCTTCCACACGATATCACGGTCAAGTTTTAGTTTATGAGCCGAACCCACTAAAACGGCCCGAAAGGACTATAAAACCTCCCGGTCCATTGGGAAGGTCTCGAAGCGGGTCCTGCAACCCCCCTAACCTCAGCAGGATAAGGCAGCCGTGCTGATACATGCCCCGTTCCGCTCCCTACCTGTCCTCTTTCAAAGTTTTCCCTCTCCAGCTCCAAGCTGTTGGCCCCGCCGGTCCGACGGATTACTTTGGGGATAGCGTTGGGGACTTGCTGCATGGAGCTTTTCACTCGGTCCATTGTCGTCTGCGACGGGGAAAAAACGTCAGAGGAACAAATAGAAAAGATAATAAACTCAGCCGCTAGGGTGTAGAAAACAAAAACAAACAAAAAAAATACGCGCAGCAACAACTATGGCGGGCAGCCGTCCATGCTGCTCTGGACTCGTCGCCCCGTTCACTGGATCATTTTGCCTTTCTGTCCAACAGCCCGTCAATGACAGCAGTGCTGTTGAACGGCAGCAGCGTCAAGTCAGGCAAGCTTCCGGTAGAACGACACTTCCGGTTGATTCGCTTTTACAAATTAAAGCTTCAACGAAGCTTGCTTGACATGCAGTTTAAATAGACAAGACGTAATTTAATGTCTCACACGTATCTAATAGATTTGAGGTCACGTTCGCCTAATTGCCACATCCTATCCAGGTCATCGTTCGTAAAAGGCTAACGCACAGCCGTGCTGACGGGCTTTTACCGCAGAGCGACCTTACAGGAAGCGAGGCTGCTGTTGTCTGCCATTGACAGCTCTCAGTTACATGAGGATGAGAGTGGCTGTTATTTGGATATTTTCTCTGGCAACGGTTCACTGACTCCTCCCAGTTTTTTCAGCCACTGGCTGAAGGCTCAGCAGCCTCTGCCCACCCCATCAGTAATATGTACAGATTTATTTACTCCAGCCCTGACAACAGAAAAGCCAGCAGAGATTTGTAACAAATATTGACATACAGATGATGCCACTTGACCTGGAATGAATGTTTTGGCAAATTTCAAGTTAAAGTATTACACCATTGTACAAAAAAAAATAAAGAGCTCTTCTTGGAAATTACATCTTTGGTTGATTAAATCACTCTATTTTGTTTTTTTTTTATAACCATTATTCAACTTGATTCATTGCAGTTTGATTTACACATTGCTAAAAGTGCCAAAGATACAGCCCAATTTCAGGGGATGTCACGATTATATGATCTGTAACATGCTCCAATCTTTTTAGGGTAATCCATTCCTATCCATCTGTTTATCTAAGCTCAAGTCTACGAGACAATAGGCTCAGGAGAGAAACATGTCTGCATCGTGGTCTCCTTCTAGTGGGACTTGTGCAAAAATATCCCCGATGACACGTGACCCGGAGCATCATAACCAAAGTCTTTGCCTTTTGGCTTAGCTGCCTAAACAGACTGGAGCAATGCCCTCATTTGTGTCTGTCCACCTTTTTTTTTCATGAAATGAGGCAGAGACATATCCTCGACCTACAAGGAACATTCTTATCTGGTTGAGAATTGTGGCCTCGGATTGGAAACATTTGAAAAATGCTGAATTTTATCCCGCCTGCTTCACACTGAGCCACAAGCCGTTCCGGTCCCTGCTGAAGGTCTTGGCTTCAAGAAGCCAACAGAACCACATCATACGCAAAAAGCAACAATGGAACTCTGAGGTTCCCAAACCAGACATCCTCCTTTCTCCAGTACTACGCCTCGAGATCCTGCGCATGAAAATCGCAAACAGAACACAGCAATAAAAAAAGGCATCCCTGCCCGGGTCTAACACTCTCAAAAAAGGAGTCAAAAACAGCTCTTTCTTGGGATCTACAGGGACAGATTGAGATATAAAAGCCCCCTTGGTAACTTCTTCGTCGGTAAAGATCTGATTCTGTGTTCCATGACCTGAAGATCGGTTGGAGCACCCTTTCTAAAACCCTGAAGTGAGCTTTCTAAGGGAGAGGCTGAGTTGTGTGATCCTCCTGTGGTTAGAACACATTCTCCGGTCTCCTTTCTTAAAAATGGGAACCAGTCATAATAAAACCTCACCAATTTGGTGTGATGCAGATTCAGAAATTATGTTGTGCCAGGAAGATGATCCATTTCTCTTCATAAGGTAATGGCAACAGTCCGCAGATCTTCAGAATCATCATTAAATAGCAGGTTGACGCTGGAAAATAATAAAATGGGGAAAATGGGATGGAAAAGCAGAGACTGTCCATTTATTGTATGTTGTGAACTACTGAAAAGTCTAATCTGAAACAACCTAATGATGTGTGTAAACAGAAAATGGATAAGAGGAAGTTATAAATGCCCTTCAACTACAAGTACCAAGAACCTTTGCATATAATCATAGAATTTTTTAATGACATTTTCTGAACAGCTACGGATTCATTTCCCTGCTGAATACTGGACACATGAATATTTAGAATACCTTTTACTTTTTAACTCTGATAAATAACAACAATGCCTTAACCTCTGTTTTACTGTGAGGCAACTTAATGTCAGGTTTTACCAGTAAAAAACAGTCCTCTGACACTCAACAGTTTTGTGAAGCCAGTGACAATGGAGAAGGTAGCAGTAGCTTCAAGAGTCCCGACCCTACTCTTATGCTCATCAGAAGGCAAGTCGTTAGTTGTTGTTGTAAGTTTTTACACCTCTCATAACACTAAATCAGTTATAACAAACTCCCAACCTTTACATTCAGTCATGATGTACAGGATCGTTTCATAACTCAGATCTGCCCTCTGCTGGTCAAACACAGAAGTTAAATACCAGCCTGCATTAAAACTTTACATAAATGTGATATGAATATGTCTATATCTAATAGATAATCTCAAATATATGATAAACCCAATAAAGCCAACAGAACCCTATACAAGCCTATCCCTGTATGATTTCCCTATACAGTTCTGATATAAAACAAGATGCATTGTACCATTAAAATACCTCAAACTGGATTTGCATGTAGTCAGTTAATATTGAGTCAGAATTTTTGTTTGACGCAGCAAAGATAACTAAGGCAAACATACACATAATACATATAGAATCTGCAAACAATAAACTGGTAAAGTTTTATTGTTACCTTGTATCCATTCACTACAATGGACATCCATAGATAGTGATTTACAGCATAGATACAAATAACATTTTCAGCCTTATACTTGGCCCTGACAAATTAGAAGAAAGAAGACACTTATGTCTTCTTTGTGTAGATTTTTTAGTTTACTTTGACTAAAAAAACTGTTGACATATCTACATGAACTATGGCCTTTATCAAATCTTAGGATTTATGTTCCTGACATGTTTACAAATGAGCACATTTCACTGGCGAATTAACTTGTTTGGAATGCCAAACATAACATTTCAGGTAGGTAGTGACAAATAAATAACTGTCTTAATTTAAGTTATCAGCTGAGGAAGGTTCATTTTTAACATATCTAAATCTTACCTGCTTGGCTGATTAAGAAGTCTACAATATTTGACTAATGTTCTTTCAGAATTTCTTTTACAATCATCCAATCCCATGCCTGGTCGTGGGGTGTTGGAGCTTATCTTATCTGTATGAATAAATTACACGTGTTTACCCTGTTGTAATACATACTATAAAAAATAAAGTAGAGCCAAAAAAGGAGTGCAACCAAGAGGAGGAGGTCTCGCGAGATTACCACCGTGAGGGAGGACTGGGGCTTGGTCTTGAAGTTTTCAGATGCATCTGTAGATGAATCACAACAGCATCAAGATGTCGGGACGGTCAGGCCGAGCAGAGACACGAAGTAGAGCTAAAGACGATATTAAAAAGGTCCTGGCGGCCATCGAGAAGGTGCGCAAATGGTATGTAAACGGTGTGAGGGACAATATGGAGGGAAATGTGTTAGTGGACCATTGCCTGATATCTTGCTGCGTCGCTCAACAAACTTCAGTCGGAAAAGTTAGAAGATTGACAGGGCCGCTGTCCAATCAGCACCCTCGTTTGATAGGAGGGGCGGGGTTAGTTTAGTTTTTTCCGCTGATAGCTGTCAATATGGCTACAGTAGCCTCACATGCGGCGGCGGGCTCTAATTCTGCGAAATGTCTTCTGGGTCTCATAATAGTGTTAGCTAAAAACACCATCGGAAGCGTCACTCTTTGCACATATAATCAATATAATGCTGAGAATGCTATAAATGAGTGTATTGATAGCTTAATCCTCTGTTTTGGACAAAGACAATGAACACTAAAGTAATGCAGATGCGAGCTCCTCTCGGATATTCATGAAATCAAATTGATCCCCAGGGAGAAGAAATGGGTGACAGTTGGGGACACATCTTTACGCATATTCAAGTGGGTGCCAGTAACAGAAACAAAGCAGGTGTGGACATCTGTCAAGTGCGTGGCTTTCTCTTACACTCGTTTTGTCTGCATACCCTCATGAATTTTACATGCCACTTTTTGTCACCAGATATATCGTACCAAGTCCGCCGGTGGGGAAAGCAGGGGCTTGAAAGACGTGGTCCTAGAAAACACCAGTTCTTTGCTGGATTTCACTGGTAGGGTTTGTCGAATAGTATTTATTATTTGGTAATATGTTAAACTAGAAACTAATTTGCTGCGGGAGCAATAACCTAATGTCCTCATGATCTAATTTGTTCCAAGATGAAAACAGCAATCAGAGCTTTCTGTCAGATGTTTATCAGCCGAAAATGGATAACAGCAGCAGCACGTCCAGCTCGCAGCAGGTCAGCCCGCCACATGCCTACAGCCTACGAGCAGAAGACTCTCAGCCGCCGATGCTGGGTCAGGAGAGCGTGGATGGTATGTGGATGACCTCCTTCAACATACTGTCAATGCTGTAATTCTAAAAAGGTGTTGGTTAAACTATTTGAGTCACTTTGGAATTCTGAAGAATATAGTATAATGTGTCAATGTTTATACAGAACCAGTTCATTCAGGACAAGACGGCGCGGATGAGCCACCTACACTCATCAAGGAGGACCCTCTTTCAGCAGGAGCTGTTAGACGAAGTGCTCCAGACACGCAGGTTTTTAGATGAACTCATTAACCGATGTGCATATGTATAGTGTTCGTTGCTCTGAAATGGATTGCTGTGAAAATGAAACTGTTTCAAGGCCTAATCAGTTTTTTCTTACGCCTCACAGGAAGAACTAGATGAATCGGGAGCACCTCCCTTAAAGAGGATTTGCACAGGAGAAAATGCTGTCCTGAGATAGCTTATTTATACTATTTTGTAAAGTAATGCACATGTTACCTGTCCCTGGTTGCTGTAAAGCAAAGCTTTGACAATGATACTGCTACTCTTTACATACACACATTTCAGCTATTGGCAAAAATGCATTTACTGCATTTTTAGTTTTGAAAACTTGCTGTTTAAAGTGATTTTTGGGAGGAAAGAAAATACAGAAACTTGAATGTACAAGGCCGGAATGAGTGTTTGTATTCAAATTTGGTATATGTCTGCATTTCAAGGATTTGATTCTTGTCTCCGTTGTATCCAGTTAAACATTTGCATGTTTTCATTCCTAATTTTACAGGTAGCGTCGTCATCTTGAAAATATGTCTTGTTTGTGGCTTTATGCAGAATAATGTTTAGATGTGCCATTATGTATTCAATATGATCTGTAATCTTGAGCAAATCTTTTGGCTTGTCATACTCTGGAATAAATTCCTTTTTAAAATAACCACCATAGTTTGCTCATCTTTTCAACATGTTTTTTGTAAACCACAATAAATAATGCTTTCATTTTTTATTTTTAATGGACAATATTTAGTAAACATCCCATTTTGTAAGTAGGGTAATCTATTGTTTAGTAAGGCTGTTCAGAGATCACCCCAGACAATGAATAAAATAAAATTAATCCGCTTTGAACAGATGGTTGGATTGAACATTAGTTTCTAAAAAGGTAGGTTTAGCTTTCATTGGGATAAATGCTTGATGTCGCCTTTTGTTCCGTGTAGCTGACTAATAATCCTTTAATTCATATTTCAGGGGAGCGCAGTTTATTTTACGTGATCTGAACAACATTGATAAAAGACGGGCCAAATCATCCAATGAGAAACGTTGAGAGCCATTTGATCAGGGTAATGCACTGGTGTAGCCAATGAGCGCGAAGAGGGGGCGGGGCGTGGCTGCAGCGCCGCTTGCTGCCGGGGAAACGGAGTGCTGAGCTTCTACGGAGTAGTGCCGGTGGACTAGAAACTCCCGCCATTTCGACGGAGAATTAACCTCTTGTTTGATTCAAGTTACTTTCTCACAACACTTACGGAGGATGTTGTCTAGTAACAAGTAACTCGGACTTAACGCACATGCAGCAACAACATTTAAAACCAGATCGGGATTAAATTGGCAAGACTTGTTTTGGACTGTTGAGTGTCAGATCTGCTAAACTAAGCTTCTGCTGTTGCCGCGAGTTTGATTTCGGTGCGGTTCGCATCCTTTCGGGTTCATCTGGAGGAGCTCAAAGTTTGCCGACTTTCTCGGGACACAACTCTGGTAACACCTTTTACATCTTAAGGCACTCCGTAAAACCAGTATGACACCACGACAAGAAGTGCTAAGGATGGTGCGATGAGGACAGTAGCAAGAAACGCACTGTTATTGTTGTGCAACGATAGCAACCCAACCTCCTAGCTAACCAGCTAGCTGCTGCACGTTGAGTGCCGGGCCTGCCGGCGGTAACGTGAGACGTGCTATCTTTCGGCAGAAGTATCACCGCCACTTGGACACATGCTAAGGTCATATCATTCTGTTTTATTGGTCTAGTTCGCCGGTATAAAATTCCAGTTTACCTCTGGCACTCGTGCCATCTCAGCATTTGACATGGCCCCGCTTTTGGGTCGGAAGCCTTACCCACTGGCTAAGCCGTTAGCCGAGCAACCAGGCCCGGGAGAGGAGGTCTACATCATCGAGCACACCAAGGAGGCCTTCAGGAACAAAGAGTATCCTTTAACGTGATGCTGATGCTTTAATTTACCTTAACAAGCCAGCTAGTGTGATAGACATCAGGTTTTTATTTATAATGCTATCTGAACTGATGTTCACACAAGTTTGCCTTGTACACTGCCTCGCTAGTTCAAGAATTTGACATTACCTGACATTTCCCCCCCTTAAGTATTTCGCCGCATGTACACAGTTTACATTAGGTGACAGGCTGGTAAGCTAACATGTACGCAGTCTGGCTAACCAGCTAATTGTGGCGATTAGCTGACCGTTTACTCATTTTGTAAAAAATATACGCTTTTAATAAGAACATGTCACAATGCTTATCCTTCAGGGTGTGATGGTTGTTTCACTTTTATATGTAAATGCGCTGCTGTCAGCCCCTAATGCTAACACAGCTAGCTAGCATTCTGCTAACGTATCCCATTATGTCACAATAGCTCCTCGTCAGCCTCCACAGACCGAAGCGGTTGCTTCAGTTAGCTGGTCGTGTTAGCAAACAACACTCTTTAGCACCATTTGTATTGTGAAGTACGGTACTAACCGAAAGCAAATAGCTGTTTCGAATTTTTTTTTTAATTATTACCCAGGGGTTTCCTTTAGAGCGATTGTTGTGTAACTTAACCCGCTTATTTATTGGGTGTTTTTGTGTAACGAGCGTCAGAGCTTCGCAACTGACAGCAAGGTTATGCAGGCAGTTGTGTCCGCTCCATGGGAACCAAATTAACTGGTGTTTTAGGCGATCTCAGAGGTTGTTGTGGCTCACAACGTTATCGACAGTTGCTTTATCAAAATATTCTGCTGTTGACATCCCAGTGACATTCTGTGGAGTGCCAAGTGTCTGTCATAAAGTTTCAATATGTCATCTGATTTGCCCTGGCCTGAACATCTAACTTTTTCAACTCCCTCTCTTCATAAGGCCAACTGCTGAGCCTTTTAGAAATTATCAGGCATGTCTGTGTTAAAATAATGGCTACCTATCTACTCTCCTTTCCCTTGGATTTAAACATTCAGGCAGAAGTTTTGCAAGTTTTTGTTGGTGCTTACTTGTAATATTTTATTTGATATCTTCACTCAGCCAGCCAACCCCCCAATCCGTTTGAGTTCAAATATACAATATTACTTAATCATGGCTAAACTAGTTAACAATAGAGCTATTCAACTATTGTGAAAGGACTGTAGTTGCTGCTAGCATTTCTGTGTTTCCTGATGGTTCAGCCACAAACACTATGGCTTTTTGAAGATCACAATATTACAAGTGTTAACTTTTTTTTTTTTTTATTATTCTTTTTTTTTGTGCTTCTTGGTTTTCGTTCACAAGTAATTATCAAAGTAGGACTCTGAATGTTTTAATTTCCTTGACAAAATGTGTACAGAGAATATGAGGCACGTTTGCAGAGGTACAGTGAACGCATCTGGACATGCAAGAGCACCGGAAGCCTCCAGCTCACTCACAAAGAAGCATGGGAGGAGGAACAAGAAGTCACAGAACTGTTAGTATTAAGAGTCTTCCCGTCTGATTCTTGATGTTTTCCGTCTCTGGGTTGTATAGATTTTGAGGACCGTTACGTGAATTAAGAATCTACAAGTTAAACTGCAGGTGACGACACTCTGCCCCTCAGACCACCGGTAGAGTTCTCAGTTCTTATGAATCTACAAGAATCACTGGTAGCTGTTTATATCAGCTCTGCTATATAAAGGAGATCCACTCCAGCACAAGTTAGACTACACACAGTGAAGGTCACACAGCTTATTGCTCTGCTACGATTGGATAAATCTTTCTCCCCGCCTCTCAATATAGTCAGAGGGTGTGTGATTGAGTCATACTTGAATCTGACCAGAGAACCCTGATCTGAGAAAACTTTTGAGTGAAAAGCAAATGGAAAACCGCTGTACTAGATTGGCCCCTCTTTAAAGTTCACCTATCACCAAATGGGTGTTTAGATTTGGATTTAGATATGTGTTTCCTTGCAGCATAGAGAAGGTGAATGAGATACGTGTGGCCCAACAGAAATGTCCAAGCGTTCAGCCGCCTCAGGATCAACTCTCAGGATCATAAGCTCTGTTTAAGCTCTGTCTAATTGTATCCGCTAAGAGATTTTACTCCCCCCTGCTGGCGTCTCTGAGATCCTTCTTCCCCTGTTGTTAAGTATTCAGATCTCGGTGATGGCAACACTCGAGAAATCTGCAGTATGAAGCCAGTTATTAGAGTGACGGCCCCACTCTGGAGCTCAGAAAGATGGGAATCCTACATTCAAAACTTAAAACAACACGATTATCATCTCGGTTTGTTTTTGAGCTACACTGTTTCTAATCTGTGTGCAGACTTCAGGAGGAATACCCCGAGTGGTTTGAGAAGCCAGTCCTCGAGATGGTCCACCACAACACCGTGTCTTTAGACAAACTAGTTGAAATGGCCTGGGTGGAAATCCTTACAAAGTATGCTGTGGGAGAAGAGTGCGACTTCCTGGTAAGTCTGACTTCTGACATTTCAGATTTTGAGTAAAGATAAATATGCATTGTTCCATTTTTGACTTTCAAACAAGTGTTTATTTGCAACATCAAAACTTACAAGACTTTTTTTCATCTCAGGTGGGTAAAGACAAAACTTTACGAGTAAAAGTGGTGAAGATTCACCCTTTGGAAAACCCTGAGGTAGAGCCAGCTGAGAAGAAGCTTGAAGGTGCCTGTGACTCCCCGTCCAGCGACAAGGAGAACGCCAGCCAGGAGAACCAGAGGAAGGAGCCCCCTGCTCGAGATGAGGAGAACAGGAGGGAGAGTCTGAGTAAGTACCTGCTGTTGAAGCCTGGCGAATGGAGATAATGTTTGACTAAGCAAGCCTGTGATGGGTCGGATGTTTTCATTTTCCATTTTCCAGTTCATTTGTCTAAAACATTACATATAATACTACTCTTCACTTTCCTACTGATTCACTCACTTATAGGTGACAGGGCAAGGCGTTCTCCAAGGAAACTAGCCACCGCCACGAAAGAGGAAAAAAGGAAATGGGTCATGCCTAAGTTCCTTCCTCATAAGTATGACGTCAAGCTCATCACTGAGGATAAGGTCAGTTCATCGTGATGATTTAATCATAAAACACCTGTAAGGGCCGTGTTCTAGGTAGATTTTTCAGTGAAACTAACACTTCACTGTGACTGTCATAGGTGATCTGTGACGTCCCGGCAGACAGCCTTTTTAGAACGGAGCGCCCTCCGACCAAGGAGATCATGCGCTACTTCATCAGGCACTACGCTCTGAGGCTGGGCAAGGGAGAAAGTGCTCCCTGGGTAGTCGAGGATGAGCTGGTGAAAAAATTTAACCTCCCCAGCAAATTCAGTGACTTCCTCCTTGATCCACACAAGGTAATCCCCTTCGGTTCTCTTTTATAAACGTATAGAGTTTAAAAGTTTTCTCACTCCAGGCTCACTTTTGTTCTTCTTTTTTCCGTCTCAAGTTTCTGGCAGAGAATCCTTCCACAAAGCGTAAAAGCATGACATCTCCTGAAGGTAAACCCAACAAGAAACTTAAGACGGCTGACACTCCTGGAGAGGATTCAGGAAACGAGAATGCGGAAAAGAAGAAGAAAAAGAAGAAAGATTCCCTTGGCCTGCCCCTTAGTCCCACACTCTGGGGGCACATGCAGGTTAGTCGGCTCACTTTCACCAAGTGAAAGTATCACTATAAGGGACTTTTATTTTTAATCACCCACGGGTTGTTGTGTATTAATTTCAGAAAATGAACGGCTCTCCACTCAAAGTGAAGAGTTCTGGGAAAGGAGAAGGCAAAAGCTCCGCTCCCTCCACTCCAAAGTCTGTCCGGAAAAGTGGGGACAAAAAAGAGGGGAAGAAAAGTGGAAAGAACAGTGACAAGAAGCTCAATGTTCTGAAGAGAAAAGAGGGCAAAGCTGGTGCGAAAACTCCAAAGATGAAGCAGATGACTCTGCTCCACCTAGCAAAGGGCACCCCGGCGGGGAGCCCGAAGAAGAGAGCCCGCAGCTCTGGCCTGGGCACACCCAAACTCGGAAAGCCGCTGCACCCCATGGCTCTCCACCTCCTCCGTTACTATAAGGAGAACAAGGGGAAGGAGGATAAAAAGAACTCCCTTTCCTCCCTCATCTCCAAAACTGCGAAAACCTTGTCAGCCGATGATCGTGGCCGCCTTCCCGAGGAGCTCAGGGAGCTGGTGCAGAAACGCTGGGAGCTGCTGGAGCACAAGAAACGCTGGGCCGCCATGAGTGAAGAGGAGCGCACGGAGGTGATGAAGAAGAAGCGGCAGGAACTCAAAGAGAAGCTAAGGGAAAAGGCCAAGGAGAGACGCGAGAAGGAGATGCTGGTTCGCCGTGAACAGTCACGCCGGTACGAGGACCAAGAGATCGAAGAAGGCAAAAACCTGCCCATGTTCAAGCTGGTGGACATGCCCGAGGGGTTGCCCAACACCCTGTTTGGCAGCGTGGCCATGGTCGTGGACTTCCTCCACTGCTACGCGGGGCTGCTGATGCCCAACGACCAGTACCCCATCACGGCGGTGGCTCTGATGGAGGCGCTGGCAGGGGAGCGCTCCGGCTTCCTCTACCTGAACCGCGTGCTGGTGGTGCTGCTCCAGACGCTGCTGCAGGACGAGCTGGCCGAGGGCTACAGCGAGCTGGACATGCCCCTGTCCGAGATCCCCCTGACCATGTACTCGGCGTCGGAGCTGGCGCGGCTGTGCCTGCGGCCGTGCGACGCCCACGGCGAGGAGAGCGCACAGGGGTCGGAGGACTCCGGCGCCGTGGGCGGCTACGACGACGTGGTGACCAGCGAGTTCCTGGAGAAGCTCGAAACCTTCGAGGTCTTTGAGTTGAGCCAAGAGGACAAGGTCAACCTGCTGGTGGCTTTGTGCCACCGTATCCTGATGACTTACTCGGTGGAAGACCACGTGGATGCAAAGCAGCAGCGGTCCGCCGAGCTGTGGAAGGAGCGCCTGGCGATGCTGAAAGAGGTCAATGACCGCAAGAAGGCTGAGAAGAAAAAGCAAAAGGAGATGGAGAGCAAAGGTAGGGGCTTTACCCGTCTTATTAAATGTAGCTGTGAATGGGATCAGATGTCAAATCTGCATCAAACGGCAAGCAGTTGTTTTAATCGAGTATGTGATGCATTTTCTGGTTCCAAAGGTGAGAAGAAAAAAGAGGGGGGCGCTAAGAAGGACAACAAGAAAGAAGTGAAGGTGGAGCCCGAGGATATGATCAGCACCGTGAAGAGCAGGCAGCTGATGGCTCTGCAGGCCAAGAAGGAGAAAGAGGAGCTGGACAGGCAGAACAAAGGTGAGCTGCAGCCTTTCGGCCGTCCCGAACCCTCTCTGAAAAACATGTAACCACCATCATCATCGTCGTCATTTTGTCAAATGAATGACGGCCGTGCGTTTGTTCCGTAGAGCGAATGGAGAAGGAGGCCGAGGAGGAGAGGATACGGAAACAGAGAGTTGCTGCAGAGAGAGCGTTTCAGGACGGAATTACTAAAGCCAGACAGGTGATGCGGAGGACTCCGCTCGGCACAGACAGAAATCATAACAGGTGGGTAACACACACCCGCAGGAGTGTGCACAGAATACACGGACATCAAAGAAATTCTGCTAATTGTCAAAGCCTCAAATGTCTTAGACGGCTACTCTGCTCAGCATATTATGTGTGCAGGAAATGGAGCTCAAACAGAGCCTGAGCTCTGCACAGCAAGTGGCCTTTAGAGTTTTAATAGCAGTCAACAGACCAACGGCATATTACAAAGGACTCAGTATTGTTGAACACGTGGAACTACTTGAACTACTTGATTGACTAATTGATAGTTCTAACCATTGTTCTTTCTTCTGTTCTTTATAGATATTGGCTTTTTTCTGATGTGGTCCCTGGTCTGTACATCGAAAAAGGCTGGGTCCATGAAAGCATCGACTACAGCTTCACTCCTCCACCTGAGGAGAAATCCCCTGAGCCTGAGGTGGAGGAAGAGGACGATGCGGAGGCAGCCTCTGCTCCTGATTTACAAGGTAAGAAAGTTTTCAGGTGGTCTTTGGTGATGATTTGGAACCAAGATTTAGTGTCTGACGCTGTTTGTGTTGAAGGAGCCGAGAAGGACGATGGAAGTATAGACGGTGCTATGAGTGAAAGCGCCCAGCAGGGGGCAGCACCAGACATCTGTATTGAAACCACCATTCCCAAACAGGGCCAGAACCTCTGGTAGGAGCTTGCCTTTACTGCTTTGTATACATTTTCACCCGCTCTTTTCAGCTCTCTAACCCTCCTGTCTTGTTAATCCAGGTTTGTTATTGACAATCCAACTGAATTGGAGGAGCTGGTGGAAAGTCTTCATTCTCAGGGGGTCAGAGAAAGTGAACTGAAGGCCAAGATCCAAAGCAGGTGAATGTCCTGTTATTGAGCATAAGTTGGTATAGTTTTATGGAGTGACACTGATTCATGTAAACTTATGTAGGACAAACCAACAGCAAACTTACAAGTGTTACTTGAAAATGTAAGATAATAATATACAAGGCAACTTCAGGAACAAATCCAATGAGCTCAAACTGTTGATTCCCTGTTTCAGGTATCAAGATATCCTTCACTCCATCCATTTGGCCCGGAAGAGCAAACAGGGCCTCCGTACCTGTGATGGCTACACGGAGCTGCTCAATTTCATGCGTACTGACATCCAGGAGATAGCCTCAAGGCTTCAGAAGGGAGGCCTGGGCTACCTCGATGACAACACAGACATTGAAGAACAGGTGAGTCTTGACATATATTTATATGTCAGACTAACTGCAAGAAACGTTGTGTAACCGATATTGTATGTTGGTAGTTCAGGTAGATTGTTGCTTTGAAATAATCCTAAAATTGTCATTTTGAAAATTATTCACAGCTGAAAGACATGGAGAGCTTGAAGGAATTCGGCGAGTGCGTCATCACTCTCCAGGCCTGCGTGATCAAAAAGTTCCTGCAAGGATTCATGGCCCCCAAGCAGAAAAAGAAGAAGAAGCAAGGAGGCGAGGAAAGCAGTAAGGCCGAAGAGGTGGACGAGGAAAAGAGAATAGCGGAGGAGGCCAGGGTAAGACCTATCCATCGAACAGACAGCGAATTATGTTTAAAGAAATGGGGTGAAATCTGTGCGCACACGCAGCTCATTTAACCACGTGAAACCTTCCCTGCAGGTAGCCACAGCGGTAGAGAAGTGGAAGACGGCCATCAGGGAAGCCCAGACCTTCTCCCGCATGCACGTGCTGCTGGGGATGCTGGATGCCTGCGTGAAGTGGGACATGTCGGCCGAGAACGCGCGCTGCAAAGTCTGCCGCAAGAAAGGTGAGGTTTGTGCGCAGCCCGGCCTCTGTGGCGGGACCGCGGCCGTGACGCTCCATCCCAACGACTGACCCCCCCCCCCCCCCGTCCCCTCCTCAGCGCTCAGACAGAAGCCGTCTGTGCTGAGGCTGTCGGAGCGTGGCACCAGGGAAGGACAGGGCCGCCGCAGCGCCAGGAGCAGAGCAGGGACTAGTTGTGTCAGACAGGTCTACATGCGAGCCCACAAGCCTACAGGTGACCCTGTAGTGACCAGGCCATCTAACCACAGACACAAAGAGAGCAAATTAGGGACATTCAGGGAGCGAAGACCAGAAAAGCAAAGATGGTTGTTAAGGGGGGAAATTGTAAATTTACCAATCCGCAGTCTTACATTTTTCTATTTGCTCGTTACTTTAAGGCGATGATGAGAAACTCATCCTCTGTGACGAGTGCAACAAGGCCTTCCATTTGTTCTGCCTGCGACCGGTGCTGCACCGCATTCCTGACGGAGAGTGGCTGTGCCCGGCCTGCCAGCCCACCACGGCCAGACGTGGCTCCCGTTCAAGGTGAGCGTTGGCTTTGTGATGCCTGCTGCACATTTTCCACATCGGCCACAGCACCACACAGAAGCAACTGCAGTTTTCAAAAATGTTTGATTTATTTTATTTTTTTTCCCCCTCCCCCTGCAGGAACTATAACCAAGACACAGAGGAGGAAGAGAGCGAGGAGGAGTCCGAGGAGCAAGAGTCTGACGAGGACGAAGAAGACGAGGAAGAGAGCTATTACAAAGCCATGGGGCACAGCTGTGAGTGTCCTTCTGCTGGTTCACCCGTGTTGGAAGTCTGGGTTAGACCGGGTTGTCGGGAACATTTAACACTTGTCATCAGTCAGCCCTTGTTTTATTTGTCCCCCTGTTGTCTGAGTGTTATCATGAAGCACAGGTCAGGTCTGAAGCCTGAAGCTCACTCTGCAGCTTTGAATGTCTCTCTGGCTAAACTCATAAGCATGTGGCATGTGGTAACCTCCCGTCAGTTCTGGCCTGCTGGTCAGGCAGAGCAATTCAGCTTATCAGTTTATGGGAGGATTTCCGTGCATCTAGCCGCTGGTTTTTATTTTGTTTTTCTTATTCTCCCCATTTCTTATTTGGAGTTCAGCTACATCTTAGTCTTGAACCCAGGATCATGCATCTGAACCCAGTTCATGCATCAGTTGAGCCAGTATATCTGGATTTCTGTTTTAGGATTGTCCAGATTTCTTCTTGTCTTTATGCTCTCATCACCTCTTTACCTCTGTGCTTTACAGTGAGACCAAGGAAAAAAACCAAGCAGCCCTCATCACGCCAGAAAAACCCCAAGAGTAAAGCCAAGAAGCCTGCCTCATCCGGCACCCTGAGCAAGCAGAGGGCGGGCCCCAACAGCCCCGCAGACATCGACGAACTGGTTAGAAATGCCTTCCTTTTGGGAATGCACCAAACAGGGGCCGCGTTGCATTTCATAGAACCTGACAGATGTTTTTTCTGCAGGTGCGGCAGAGTTCCCAAACAGGCGTTCGCAGGCAGGTGCTGGAGCTGGAGAGGTGTGAGGACATCCTCAAGAAGCTGGTGAAGTTCCGCCACAGCTGGCCTTTCAGGTGAGCAGAGAACACAGCCTGGGTGTCCTGAACACCTTCAGCAAGACATCGAATGGTCTCGGGGTATTTTAGTCCCACTTTAGTCCCACGTCACTGCTGAAGATGTTTGTAAATGTTGCTTTCAGACACAATTTAAACCGCTATTATCCAAACATTTTGTTCAGTCAGTCACCTCAGATTAATCTAAGAAAATTCCACATTCCACTGGTGTTTCTTCAGGGAGCCGGTTTCCCCGGAGGAGGCCGAGGATTACCTGGACATCATCTCGCAGCCCATGGACTTCCAGACCATGCTGGGCAAGTTCAGCCAGGGCTCATATCGCCACGCCCAGGACTTCCTGGAAGACGTGAAGCTGGTCTTCGCCAACGCAGAGGAGTACAACCGGCAGGGCAGCACGGTGCTGTCCTGCATGGTCAAGACGGAGCAGAGCTTCACCGAGCTGCTGCAGAAGCTGCTGCCCGGCCTCAGCTACCTCCGGCGCCACTCCCGCAAACGCCTCAGTCGAGCCCAAGACACGTCCGAGGAGGAGGAGGAGGAGGATGAAGATCCGGAGCCCAAGAAGAAGATGCAGAACGGCAAATCCCGCCGGAGGCCAACCAGAAACAGGCGGAGACGGAAGAACCAGGAGAGCGAGAGTGAAGAAGAGGAGGAGGAGGAGGAGAATGAAGATGAGGATGATGGCAAGAGGAGAAGTAAGAGGTCCTCCGCCACCTCGGAAAAGAGGGATTACAGGGAGCAGGAGAGCGACGAGGAGCGGGGAACGCGAAGAACTCGTCGGCGGGGGGGGCGGGGCGACGCGGAGGCGGCGAGCAGCGACGAGGAGCGGCGCCGACAGCAGCGACATTCCAAGAGACTCAAACGCTCCTGAGATCCAGGGCGCCCTTTTGATTTTTTGTTTTTTCTTCATCTCTTATTTGCTTAAAAAAAATTCTGTGTCCTGCTACTCTGAGAAGTGACCACAGGCTCTGCTCCTCCTCCTCCTCCTCCTCCTCCTCCCACAGCCAGCATGACTTAAACCTCAGAGGGACACTTTTTTTGTGGTGTAATTTGTTCATACTTTGAAAACTAAGAGAACCAATTTATATTTGTAACATGTTAAATATTGGTAATGTTTTTTCTTGTTTTTTTTTAAAGTCTTTTTATTTTCAGCCAAGAAAAATCAGACATTTACAATAATAGAGTGATCTTCTTAGCTCTTAAGACTCTTTGAATTAAAGTTCAGTTCCAAGAGAACTGTTTTTTTTTTTGCTCTCTCTGGTCATCAACACGGTGTCACAAGAGCTTTTGTGGCCGATGTTAAAGCCGCCACCTTTAAGGTGTTTTTCTTCTACCTGATTTTTGTCTCCAGGCATCTGGTAATGTTACTGTGTTTGTAGTCACTACACGAGCCTGTGTACATCACACATCATATTTTTTCTATTCTTTATTTTTTTCTAATAACAATGCTTTAGGCTGTCTTCTGTAAATTCCCCCTCTTTAACAAAACATCTAGTTACCAAGCTTACCTTTGGCTAGTACACACCGACACATAAACATGGTAGGATTTTAATAGCTATATTGTTTCTTTTCTTTTCATCTTCTTTGCCAGGCCTTTATCGACCACGGTGAATAACGGCAGTTCACTTAGTTACATCATGAAATTGATTTCAAAAAGGCAAAAAAAAGAAAAAAAAAAGCATTGTATCAGCGCAGCTCTTGATGCCGGGATATTCTCAGGAACCTGACCCAGAGTCTGTCTGGGCTTGTCGAGCTGTGCAGCCTCTCCTCCTCCTCCTCCGTAGTGCCCTGCCACTTTAAAGAAACACCCGGTACCTCAACTGATCCCATCAGTTTGCACTCCTCTGTAAAGTGTACCTATTAAGCCAGCAGCTGCAGGACCGAACTCTTAGGATTATGTGCATAAACATTTGTAAAACAGTGTTTAAATCAACCAATGTGATGTTTGTTAAGAAAATGGGCATTTTTGAAATATTTGATATTTTTTGCACATTTTTATTTGGTATTGTAAATGATAACTTGTTAGTGGATCTTTAATCACTATCGGTAAATTGCAAGGTTGAACCAGGGCCCTCCCAGCCAGCACAGAGCACGCCTCCCGCTCACTTTAATGACCGTACTCGGGGAGTAAATTGACACTTGTACACTTTGTAACCAACATATTATCCCTGTCGTTCAGTTCAAATGGAAATTATGGATGCAAACACGGGCTGGGCTGCTCCTCTGAGGAATTAAGAAGGATTTCTGGCACCCGTCTGGGTTCAGTCACTAGGTGGTGCTCTGTTCCTGCACTGTGCGTCCTCCCAGCCAGCGGTCAGATGAGTTTGGTCACCTGGCCGCTGGCTGGACGGCACCTCTGACTCTGCTTTGGCTTTTCAGAGGGCAGGCCAGCCTCTCAATGCTGGTACAATTTCTTTATAAGAACCTCTACAGACTTTTTTTTTTGTAGTAAACACGATAGCCTGAAACTTAGATGTGGGAAAGTTATATTTGGATGAGGTTTCCAGCATTGTGTGTATATATTTATATATATTTGTGTATACTGAGAAGACAGTGGTTGGTTTGCCCACTCCTGTCTACTGTGCTGTGTCGTTTGCCCCGTGTTTTACTTGTGCTGTTATCAACAAGACTTTTCCATTTGGCCTCTATTTTTTTTTTTCAGACGGTCTGTTGAGTTCAAATTTGGCTTTATTCCCAACATGGCAAACCATTATTGGAAAGCACTGTTCTAATCATTTCCACCAACAAGCAAAAGGTGACTGCCCTTCTCCCAGTGAGATCCCACTGTAAATGCTGTCTTTGTTATTGGAGAAACTGCAAAATTCTTTTACACTTCCTTTTTTATATATATATTTATAGTCTAAAGCAGGGTTTGGGCAGGTTTGGAGGATTCACATGTAAAAAATTTTAAAAAACATTTAAAAAATTTCCAATAAAGGCTATGGACAAATTGCTCCAGTTCTCCCTGATTTATTTGAGCCGATCCGATGTGTCCGATGTGAAATCACTGCCATCTTTGATCCTTGAGAGGGGGCGATTAAAAAGGGAGGTAGGCAGGCGGAGCCTTGCTGACTGACTTGTGTCTTTACTTTTCAATAAAACCTAAAACATTTGGCCCTCTTCGGTGTTGACTCTTTACTCAGAACCACACTGTCAGGTCTTGGAAGACCTCACACACTGTCAATGATTCTTTCACTGTTATCCACACAGGGGATGAGCAATTGTTCAATGAAAAATGTAATTGTCAGGAGTAAATATCTCGGGTGGTAGCTAGGCCGGCTCTGGGGAAGACAATGTGATCAGACGAAGGGAGAAGCTCCAGAGTGAGAGCAGGTTGACCCTGTTTCGTGTGTCTTCTCAGGTAGGTGCCAGCTGTGATCCCACAGAGCCAGATCTGTGATATCTGGGGGAGAGGGGAGTGCAAGGAGGACGGTGAGACCTTATGAAATATCTAGTAGCGAGGTGGTGACAGCCTGTGAGCCATCTGTAATTTGGCAACAGGTGTAGAGGCTAAGATGGATCAGAGTAAAGGTCAGAGATGCCAAAAGTCAGTGGAAACAGCTCTTGATTAGAGGTGGTTCATGTAAGCCGTCAGCTGCTTTCAGCCATAATAAACTTACAGCTACCCTTTCACTTTCTTGACTTTTATTGAGTTTAGTTTTTTTTTTTTTATGAATTCCACTACAACTACTCATCCTTTTACAGGACCAACTTCGTCCAGATCGTGAGAGAGGATGGAGCCTATCCCGCTTGTTATTCTTTCCAGCTATCACAGCTGTATACAGCTGAGAGTATATTTCTAATAGTATTTCAAAATTAAGTTGTGTCCTCATTTGAATACATGAGGCATTTTGAGCTTTAAAGAGGAAGAAAGACTCCAGGTCCCATAATCTTGACTACAAAGAGAAGTAAAAAGCAGACAGATGTCATGATGAACCACAGGCCTTAAGTCTCTTCTATTGTTACTCTGTATCAACTCAGCCAAAGTATTTTCCCAAACGCTGCTTTAAACCTAAACGAACCCTTTATGCTTCACATGAACTTCTGCTGAACCCTGAGAAGTAGATCACTTTTTCTCTCAGGACTCTCTTTAGCATTCAGGAGTCTGTTGGTTGCTTGAATAGCACAGAATACAGTCGAGAAGTAGGAGAAGCTGAGTTCTTATCAGTCTCAGAAAGACACATTTCGGCATGAAATGTGTCTTTTCTACTAACTGAAACATGATTTCATATCAGCTCGCTGCCATGTTCCGGCAGGCAGATCTGCACAGGCACGGGGCCTAAAACGCACAGTTCAAGTCCAAGTAGATGACGTAAACGTGGCCCTGATCAGGACGTGATGGTGATTTTATCAACTTCCCAGCATCATACTGATTCTTTTTTAGCCATGCTGATGACATGACCCTGGGTGAGTCACCACAACATTTCCAAACTGAAATATCTAAATGGCTTTTGAGTGAATTGTTGTGACATTCCACATCAGGATGAATTATTTCCTATCGTTCCATCATCGGATGCCAGCGGGATGCAGAATGGATCCATTTTTATTCTAATTCAGATGTAGCCAGCATAGAGAGCTTGACAGGAACTGAATCCTGTCCCAGTTCGAGTGCCCACCTCGGATAATCATTAATCACACGGGAATCCTGCCTTATGCTGCTCCTCCTCCAATCGGTGGGTAAGTCCACAGAGGAAAGATCTGTACGGGGTAGTTTACTGTTACATCACACTTGCCACCTGACCAAACCGGCGGCAGCAGGCGATCTCTCTTTTACAGGAGCAAACTCTCCGGTGGCCAGTGTTTTCAGAGTGATCTTTGAACCCAGAACAAACTGACAGAGGCAGAGTGTGACAGATCCATCCACACACAGCTCGACCTCCCCCTGCAAATATTTACCCCTGGTCCCAGCGGGGGTAGAGGTCGGGAGGCATTCTCTCGATTTCATTCCGAACTGAGGTTTGTGTTTAAGTGTTACCACTAAATGAGTCATATCTGGTGCAGTCGTGGATCTTGTGGAACGAACATGACGTGGCAGAAGTTTCATGAAGATCTCATTCAACAACTTTGTGAATATCCTCCTAAAGTTACAATCCCATTAGAACTTCATACACTTGAGTTTTTCGAGAATTCGGGCTTCTCGCGCTGCAGATGTGTGAGTGCACTGCAGGGGGCTTCGGTGCACTGTGACCTCCCTGCTGGACCTGCTCCTTTTTGTTTCACAAATTATAATCAAAATGGAAATGTTTTGGAAATCATTAAAGTGAAAAGAACGACCAGAGGGAAATAAAACCAAGTGCAAACTGTAACAAATGGGAGCACTGAGTTCACCAAATTGCTGGATAATAAATGTGAGACATGTCTGACAGCTACAGAAAGTCTACGGTGCATGTTGTTTGGATCTCCAGCATCTTAATAGATTCAGAGATAGTTTTTTTTTTCAGAGTGGTTATTTGAAGATGCTGGTCAAAAATTCTCATACAGCTCAGATTTAGCTGAGACTGAAAAAAGATAGAATGGAAAAACTAGAATCAGAAATCAAACGCAACACCAACACGTACTGCACAGCCTTTGATTCTCTCTGTCTGTGAAGCAGCTCAGGTGGTTATGGTTTTATTATTCAAAATGATTGCACATCATTTTTGTCCACTTTTCCACCAAACTTGTGAGTTATAGCCGTGAGTTTTACCACATTCTTGTTGTTCTTGCACCATATTCTTGGACCAACGCAGCTTGTGTTGATCCATGTTTCTAACAATGTACATAAAACAATATGAGACAGAAAAAATGTCTCCATATCAACTGACACAGTCTCTCTTTCCTCCTGAAATGAACAAAGCTGTACCGCTTATGTATTTTCAGTGGTTTGTTTAT